TCATAACTTAGGGACTGAGCCAGAACTTGGTTATAACTTAGGGGACTAAAGATGCAATTTTTCCTTATGAATATATAGTTTAAAAATTATGAACATATAGTTCTATAATTATAAACATAGAGTTATGAACATAATTATAAACATATAATTTTATAATTATGAATATAAAGATTCAATAATTGTGAATATGAAGTTTTCAAAAATTATGAATATATAGCTTTATAATTATGAACATATAATTCAGTAATTATGAACATAGAGTTTTGTAAAGAATTCAATAATTATAAATATGAAGTTCAAAAATTATGAATATATACTAGATAATTATGAACATATAGTTCAATAATTATAAACATAGAACCGTGTCCACCTTACAAGGTAGACACGGTTCCACAGCATAACGATTGGTGCATGATTAAAACAAATATAGGAGAATTAAATCATGGGAAAATTGTAAAAAATGCTCCTCTATAATATGACAATTATCAATGTCACTCCTAATTATGAGTGGTGTAAATATTGCCCCTCAATTATCAAAATGGTGCACATATAGCCCCTCCCGTAACGGACCTGTGGTTCCCCACCGCTGTCCATCGCTGGTACTCTGAATCGAGGGAGGGAAAAAACAACTAAATTACATATTTACTCCGACTTAACAGTGTCGTACACTAACGGAGAACCATATGCATGTCCGTTACGGGAGGGGCTATATGTGCACCATTTTGGATAATTGAGGGGCAACATTTACACCACTCATAATTCAGGGATGACATTGATAATTGGCATATTATAGAGGGGCATTTTTTTACAATTTTCCCTTAAATCATCTACCAATGGCCATCTGTTTCATCCCACGTGAGATACGGATCTACAAAACAAAAATAAAAAATAATATAATTAACCTAAAAGCTCTTTACGGTAAGGCCCAGTTTGAGAAGCAGCCCAAGGAGAGTTGAGAAGTAATCCCCAGCGCATGCTCAGCCCAGCCCGTAAGCAGAGGAGTAGTGTGAAAGCAGAAAGCCCATCAATTTTCAGCCCAAGCCCATCAAAAGATTGGAACGTCAAGTGCTGGGCAATTTATATCCTACACCACGGCGCGCGTTGCACTATGCGCCCAGATGCAAAACGACGTCGTTTTAATTTTTTTTTTTTTTTTTGAAATTTCTCGCCCCAGTGAATGGCAGTAGTATTTTTCTTTAAAAATAAACCCGCTGTTCAAGAATGTACATAATGTTATACTAGAATACACATAATGTTATACATGAATGTACATAATTATATAACAAAATATACATACTCTTTTTAAAAGATAATACACATAATCTAACATAATACATAATAAACATAAACTTTTAACATAATACACATCAACTCTTAACATAATACACACAAATTTTCTGATTCGGATGTACATAATTGTATAAAAAGAATGTACATAATTGTATAAAAAAATACACATAACTGTATGAACCAATACACATAACGTTGTGAACAAATACACATAACGTTGTAAACAAATACACATAATCTCAGCAACTTCCTACCGCGCCTCCCAACACTATCCCAAAACGACGTCGTTTTGGGAGGCGCGCGGCGCATAGTGCTATATACGCCGTGGTGTAGGATATAACGATTGCAAATGCTGTCACATTATTTGGGAACAAAATCAAGTGACTGGATTACGATACTTAGCCAAGAACTATAGTGTAGAGCCCGAATTGGCCTTATTGTATTTTTGCCCAAATGCCAAGCTCACGGCTCTTGTTCAAAATGATTGTATGGGAGTCTCTTCGGTACGTGGTGACTAAGTGGTTTTTGTTCTCTGGGGTTCCATCATTCCCTTTTTCAAAATAATAATAATAATAATAAGCTAGATTAACCTTATTACTTACCCATCATATATTCATATCCTAGGTAAGTGCTACAACGTGATGGTGGTAACTAAACAAATTAACACACATATATATTCGGTGGTGGCTCGAAAAGTCCGGTCTAATATCATGTTATCAAACGTGACACTGACTGTTATGCAAATATAATGAAATAAAGTTACACATTCACTATTAGTTATAAATTATGGTACGACCGTGTACAGTAATAAGCGTTTGATAATGAAATAAAATTACGTCTTTAATTTGCTATTAGCTATATATTTTAGGTAGTGATAAATGTTGAATTTAATTGACAATATATTTAGTTAATTTTAGTTTAATCTTAATGTATTATGGAGTATAACGCAATTTGTTTATTAATCAATCCCCATTTGTTGAAAAACTATATACAAGTTTTTAGATTTGTAAAAAACCATGATAAAAAAAAAAAAAAAAAAAAAAAAAAAAAAAACCACTAACCCTTATAGTGAAATTCAGATATTTTCTAGCTACCAAATGCCCCATTAGTTCTTGAATTACCAACCCTACCCTAGCTAGAAGCACCATTTCTTGTGGGCAAAATCTGTAATGGCATACTGCATGTAATTATTCCTTTCTAAAGGAAATTGGAGCAGTGTGTTCAATTCGATCTGTCCATCCACTCACATTTTAAGGTAGCAATATAATGGTGTGACTACTTTCAGGTGCTGCAGATGTAGGCCGGAAGAGGTGATTGAAAAGAAGTAATTGCAGGTGCAGGCTGCATAGTCTTAGGCTGAAAAGAATTTTTTTTTTTTTTTTTTTTTTTTTTTTTTTTAAAGAAGAAAGAAGAAGATGTATGTTCAGGAAGTAAGCACCATATTTGAAATTTGCAAGTGAGGAAAATTATTTGTTAACAAAAAGCAAAAAGAGGTGCCACTCCCACAATAGCCCTGAGCTCAGTACCAATAGCATAGCATAGATATGAGAACCAAGAATCTTTGATGTAAGGACATACAGACACTTAGAAAATTTGCAAATCTAAATAACCCCTTGTTAGACTAAAATACATATCACATGCATATAATATGTGATACAGGACCGATTAACCTCCAGCCATAGTTCTTGAGACCAGCCATAGTTCTTGAGACAATTGAATGATCCGGACTGTTGCAGAGATAACACGAGTATTTTGTCCCTCACTTTACTCAGATCTCTCTAGATGGTGTATGAGGTATGCAATGTGAGCATTGAGAGGACTAGTGACCTTATATAACCACTGGCCATCATTGTGGTTGTATGTCTTTAGGTCTCCTAAACCCTAACCAGACTCCTAATCACAATGGTAGTCTAGCTATTAGGTTATTAGTGTTGCACCACATATCAAATACTTAATATTATCATAACTTATCCTAATGTTATAATAATAGTAACGGATAAAACGTAACACCCCTGACATGTGATAGTTTATAGAAAAACCATGGGTCTAAAGAAGACATATCATTACTTCTGAAATGAAAATAATGGCTAAAATAGAATCGTCAACCTCGACTCTCCATCTGATCTAGGCCTCTTAGGGTCAGCATATCGAACAGTCAATGGTTGATCACATCATATCCCTGGTATATATACAAAAGGAGATTATTAATTCATTCAGGTGCAAATACTAATCGAAAAAAGGATCAAAGGCTCAAACAGGGATAAGATAGCATCATAGCACATTGACAACTAACTGATGAAAACTTAGTGAACTTACTCCATCTCATTGTAAACTTTCCACTAAGAGCATCTATTGCTGCCAATGCCATTTCTATGATCTATTTGAATATTTGACAAATCCACATCCTTCAAGGCATTTCAAAACACAAGAGTAGAGTACGCTATGAAGGTCGGTAATAATAATACAAATGTGGATAGATTTTTAACATCCCCCGTATAAATATCAATCCCACTTTCTTTCATTCAAGAACCAGTGCAATTCATGATTTGCAGAGAACACTCACTACCTCAGAAACTAGATGTCTCTTTATGTTCATCAATATTCATGACCAAAATTCAAGATAAATATGCAAAACAAGGGGAAAAAGCCTCTATATAATATGATGGCTGGTTGTACAAATTGAAAGCAGCAAAACTAATGAAGTTCCGTTGTTGTGACATAGAAGATGAAATAGAAAGCCCCAAATATGAACCAGCTCCTTTCACTGCCACTATGGCCACCTTAAACATTTAATTTTATGAAAGCAACATGGTGCAGTCGTTCAATCTCCTCCAACTTCACTTTTCGGCGATGCTCTAGGTTCTTCTGGCGAGGCCCTTCGCGCCTTCTCTGCTGACGCTCTTGTTGCTTGTGAATACTGAATACGTTTCCTTTCTCTTCCTTCATTGAAGAATTCAAACAAATTCATAATAAATTAACAGATTAACAACAAAAAACAAATTAGAATACCATATCTATAACGAGTTTATCAATCCCGCCGTCGTCTGTCTTCCCCATGGATGCCTGGAGAAGAATGAGACAAATTGGAAGAACATAATGAAAACAGAGACTTAATATTACCAGAAACTTAGCGGAGACTTGAATTCAGAGAAGAAATTAAAAATACATTAAAAAACAAAGCCAATCGAAAAACAAAGTCGAAGAGAGATATACATACATCAATCCTCTTGCACTCTATTTCCTCCTGATCGGAGTAGTTGCGCTTCTGCCGCTTCACCATCGTCGTCGGACATCGGATAACAAGACGGGTAGAGACTTAGAGATCAGAGAGGTTGAGAAGAGACATTTGAAAGAAAGTGGAGTACTAGTTCTATTTAAAAGACCCCAAAAAAAAAAAAAAAAAAAAAAAAAAAAAAAAAAAAAAACTAACTAGCCTGACGTCCTCCTATAGGGCCCATCACTAACAAACAGCTTCTAACAATTAGCCTGTTAATTTATTTGGCTCTGATACAAGATGATATCAGAGCCTATCTTGTATCAGAGCCTAGGTTAGGCCTGTGACCCATAGAGAGCTTAGGTTGTGAGATCTTAGAAATAGGAAACAGAATTGATTAGGTTCTAATACAAAGTGGTATCAAAGCTTAAGTTACGAAATATTGGGCATAGGAAATGAAATTTATTTGGCTCTGATATAATGAAATTTATAGTAGTCAGTGAGCAAAAACTGAAACTGAAACCATTGTAGTCAGTGAGCAAAATCTGAAACTGGATAAGAAGTTCAGTCGTCAAAAGCAGCCAGACGCTGCTTCTTCATCTCCTTCTGCCGGATGCGGCGACGACGACCACGACCATGCTCCTTCTTGTCAGTAGTAGGGCGGCATTCAGGCTCCGGCAGCAGCTCTTCAGGCTCCGACAACTCCTCTGGTTCCTCCTCTTCCTCTTTCTCCTTCTCCTTCTTCTTACGTTTCTCCTTCTCCTTCTTCTTACGTTTCTCCCGTTTCTCCTTCTCGTTACATTCAAACTCCTCCCAATTCTTTCTCAGGCGATGTTCTCCACTCTTGCGGCGAGTCCATCTGCGCTGGCGTTCTTGCCTCTTATAGATGCGCTTCCTCTCCATTGCTTCATGCTATCATAATACACTATTAAGAATTCAAACAAATTAACAATTAACAACCAAAATAAATTAGATTATTAGAATACCATTTCTTGCACGACGCTATCAATCCAGCTGTCATTAGTAGGCAGAGGCAGTTGTTCTCGGCGACGGCTTAGCTCCTCCTTCACATAGATTAATACATTCATTAAATTCAACAACAAAATGGGGAAACAAAGCAATACCTCATATCTCTGAATTCTCTTGACCTGCATTTCATCATCGGAGACCATCTCAGTCAGGTCAGGCAGAGGCACACGCTCCAGTTGCTCTCGGCGACGGCTCTCAGTCAGGTCAGGCAGAGGCACGCGCTCCAGTTGCTCTCGGCGACGGCTTAGCTGATCCTCGCTCTCCTCCTTCACATAGATTAATACATTCATTAAATTCAACAACAAAAAGGAAAAAACAAAGCAATACCACATATCTTTGAAATCTCTTAACCTGCATTTCATCATCGGTGCGCTTGCGCTTCACCGTCTCAGTCAGGTCAGGCAGAGGCACACGCTCCAGTTGCTCTCGGCGACGGCTTAGCTGATCCTCGCTCTCCTCCTTCACATAGATTAATACATTCATTAAATTCAACAACAAAAAGGAAAAACAAAGCAATACCACATATCTCTGAAATCTCTTGACCTGCATTTCATCATCGGTGCGCTTGCGCTTCACCGTCTCAGTCAGGTCAGGCAGAGGCACACGCTCCAGTTGCTCTCGGCAACGGCTTAGCTGATCCTCGCTCTCCTCTTTCACATAGATTAATACATTCATTAAATTCAACAACAAAAAGGAAAAACAAAGCAATACCCCATATCTCTGAAATCTCTTGACCTGCATTTCATCATCGGTGCGCTTGCGCTTCACCGTCTCAGTCAGGTTAGGCAGAGGCAATTGCTCTCGGCGGCTTAGCTCATCCTGATCCTCTTTCAGTCGTCTTTCATTCAGCTTCTTCTTCTGAATGCGTTTTTTCTTGTTCGCATCAACCTAAAAAATAATACGACAAAGTTTAATACATTCATTATATATTCAACAACAAAAAGGGAAACAAAGGCTAAGCTATACCCTATATCTCTGAATTCTATTGAGCTGCATTTTCCCAGGGAGAGAGAAATGAAACTTCGAGAGAAGTGTGACAGAGAGAGAGATTGAAAGAAACTGAAATATAAAAGACAAGAAATTAAAACTAACTCGCTGATGACTGATGACGTCGTCATGGCCCACACTAACCGCTTCTCCGCCCTCCAAAGGGCGTAGGCCACGCGCTGAAAGAATAATTGTTTAGCACGATGAGATGAGTAAGTTTTCATCAGTGTTCAAATACTGATTGAGAGGATAGCACGATCATGGTCTTTCTTTTGGTGGAAGGCGTGAGACCTGGGTTCGCTTCCAGTCTCTGATTTCAGGCTTGGGCCTCTACTACTGCAGCTCGGGCCTTCTCAAGGTGTTGCCTTGCTGGTCAAATTTTTGGCTTCAACATTTGGTTTTAGTTTTTTGTTATTTTTGTTATCACATTCCCGTGGCTGTCAAATTATTGTGTAGACCATAACAAAAAGTACATTTTAAATATACTAAATGTACATTATTTTTGTACTGAATGTACATTATACAATATAATGTACACTCAGAAAAAAAATAATGTACATTTCCTGAATATAATGTACATTATTTTTGTATTGAATGTACATTATTTTTATACTGAATGTACATTATTTTACAGTAGACAAAATATGATCCACACAAGTTGTGATAATTTTTTTTTTTGAATGCACACAAGTTGTGATAATAATTGCCCGTGGCTTCAATTCTGATTTGTAGGCTTTTTTTGTTGCTTGGGCTAGGATTTATTTTAAAAATTCTCTTTTTAAAATTTGTCTTGGGCTTGGCCTTTTGGACTTCCCTTTCATATATGTACTCAGGGGTATGGAGCGTTATACACTTATACTTGTGGTGTTATACTTGTACTGATCAGTTGCTAGTTTTTGGTTTTCAACATCAGAGCATTTTTTTCTCAAAAAAAAAAAAAAAACCTCAAAGCATTTTTGTAAATTTACCATAACTTGACTGGTTGTTTGGGATTCTCTTTATTAGGGACACAATGGAATTTGGGAGTGATTACTTTGAAGACTATGTGGGGCAGCTTTTACTGGCTTCTTTGTCAGCTGTTGAAGTAGATGAAGAGGAATCTACTCCTCCTGAAGTCCGGCAAAAGAATGTTGAGGATAAATTGAAGGTATGCTTACTTCAATTTTAACCCATGAAAGGTTAGTCATTCTGCATATTAGTCATACAGGCCTTACAGAAGCAAAGGGAAGAGAAGCTTGTAACAATTTTAAAAGATCGTCTTCAACCTGCCGTATTCATGAGTTTGTAAGTTGGTCAACATCAGAAGCACGCCGTCTTTCTCAAGCTGGTATTATGCCTCTGTTCTTTTCAATACTTTATTTACAACATATATTGCATACAATTTTTACTGTCTAAAGTGTAATAATAATAATAATAATAATAACTACCACTACTATTCAAAAGAAGAATGAGAGAATGACATAACTACATAAGCTTTGTTTTTCAACAAAATACTCAAAAGCAATACATATGTTCTTAATAATGTATAATAAATTTCAAAACATACAAATAATACTACTCCGTAGTAATGTTCATAAAATATAAATATAATTAATGATTAATTGGCAACAATGAATCTTCTTATCCACTGTAATTTTCGATCAAGATCAAGACAGAAAAAAAAAATCACTTTATTATGATGATCGTTGAGCTTTAACGAAAACAATGTTCATTTTATCATAAGTCAAACTATTCATCTCGTATAGAGTAATTATTAAAATCTAGTTTGTTATATACACACACACATAACATAATCTAATAAATAAAAAAATCATATAAAAAAATTAAACACCATATACATTCACCATAAAATTAAATAAATAGAAAACATATATTAAAAAAATTGAGATGGGGAGAAAAAAAAAACATAAATTTTTTTAAGGTTGAATTAGGGGTAAAATAGAAAATAAAAAAACTAGGCTATTCCTAAGAACGAATAACCTAATATTGGGAGGCCCATAATAGCTATTCCTCTTGCAAAGGGAATAGCTCATTCCCAGGAACAAGATGTATTAACAAACAATGGAATGAGCCTATTCCTAAGAATGTCATTCAACTCCAAACCTATTCCACGAACCAAACGTGCTGTAAAGGTTGTAGTAGAAAATGCCATAGAAATTTCAGATTCTTGTCCTTAAATCAAGAAAAGCTAAAAAACTATACTCTAAATTGTTGAAACTGCTTTACTGCATGCGGTACTCTAACTTAGAGCATCCACATTGGTTGGGGAGAATGGGGGGATAATGTAAGAGTGATTAGGAAAGAGAATGTGGGAGGGGAGAGAAAAAAAAAAAAAAAAAAAAAAGAAAAAACAAAACCAAAAAAAAATTAAAAATAATAATAATAATCAGACGCGTCAGGCGCGCCTGACGCGCCTCCGGGCGCGTGCACTGCATGCGCCCGGCTTCTGCCCAAGGCTGTGCGCGAACGTGCACAGCCTTACTTCTCCATCTTTATTTTTTATTTATTTATTTTTTTCTGACAATATCCTCACATTTGCAGGACAATTATTTTTCAATTATCTCCCCTCCACACTAATTATTATCTCATGTAGGGAAGAATTAATGCTGAAATCTCCCCACAATATGCACAAGTGTGGATGCTCTTAGCCGCTTATGTTGAGTTGGCAGGATCGGATGTTCTAGCTTGCTAGCCAGTTTCAGTCTGTTCCTGTTGACTTATTTCTTCTGAGCTTGTCAAATACAGAATCTTCTTTTTGATACTCTCCAATGATAGGTGCAGGCTCCAACTTGAACTCATTGAGGGGTTTTGAAGTGATAGATTCAATCAAAGCTGATATTGAATTTGTTTGCCCTGAGACAGTGTCCTGCACTGATATTCTAGCCATTGCTACCAGAGATTCTGTCCTTCTAGTACTCTTTTCATTACTTTTGTTAGTTGACATGTAAGTATGATGACATGGTAGAAATAATATCAACAAATCAGCTATTATACTTAATTGTTTCACGTTTTAAAGTACAAGGACTAATTGAACAAAATTAAGTTAGAATGACTAAATTGAACAAAATATTATAATACATGGACCGTATAGGTACTTTGACCCACCAACATATGAGATGATTGGGAGACTATGAGAAGATTGGGAGACTGTTGTTGAGTATAGACACTGTGTTGGAGCAGTCCGTCTCGAGCAACACGTTGTCATATTGTATTTTCTTTAACCAAGATAGTGCCTCTTTGGAAGCGAGAATTTCAGCCGTGAAGGGGGTCAAGGGCACACGAAATGAGACCTGCCTCTTTGCTTGCTTTGTAGCGCAAGCCAGGGGCGAATCCAACATGGGGCAGCTGCCCCCCTCCCCACCCCTCTCCCTCCCACACCTTATATATAACCCTTTTATGTATATATGTATATATAGTACAAGTTTTAGTATAGATATAACAAAATAGATAAAAGTAAAAAAAAAAATGATTAGATCAGGTGGCAAAGCACACATGTCTCAACTTTATTTATAGAGGCTAGGGTTTGAATCCTCAATATGGTTTTGGCACCTCTTTTTAAGAGGCTAGGGTTCGAATGCAATATGTGTACTGACACAATTTATTTATGACTTCTAAATACTATGTATTAATTAATTGTGAAATTTACACACATATATATAACTTTCTTTTATATTAATAATGAAATGTGTCTATAATGTATTTTTTATTCGAATTATTTTATCAAATTAATTATGTTTTATATTTTGTTATGAACATTTTTTATAAAGTTTTGATGTGTTTTATTTTTCGTTCACATCCAACAATATTTATGGTTATACTTTAAGTGTTTTATTTTTTTATCAAACTATCTCTTTTGTTTTAATGCGTTTCGCACCCACTGAAAAAGTTTTCTGGATCCGTTGCGAGTTTTCTGGATCCGTCACTGGCACAAGCAATATATAACCAACTCAATAAGGAATAAAAATACAGACATAAATCAAGAATAGTAATTTGGATTCACGCTTATAATTTTTTTAGTATTGAACCTTAACCAAAATTGACCATATGGTTCCAATGTATAGTTCAAATTGTATAGTACGTCAGTATATGTTTAATTTTGGACAAAATCGTGATCTCTTTAAAAAAAAAAAAAAGGGAAAATTGTGGGCCGTTTATTTTTTTTCTATGTTTTGTATTTAAAAAATTTGTTTAATGACATTTATTTTTTAAAAAAATTTACTTTATTTTTAGATTGACATTATAAAATTAATACAAGTTTAATTTCAAGTGATTTTTAAATTTTATATTTAAAATATTTTTTGATATGTTTGATTTAATATAATAAATATAATTATTATTTATAAGTCTACTATATATATATATATATATATATATATATATATATATATATATATATATATATATAAGATTTTTACATTTGATATATGAACCAAATTTATATGTGTATATAACATAACTAAAAACATATACGAACCAATAATCTATTAAGTTCACCTAAAATTGAAAGATGAGAAGCTTTAGGAGGTCAATGATGAAGATGGGAAGCTTGGTGCCGGGTGATGGAGAATGTGGAGCGATTCATAGAAACTATAGAGTTTGTAAACACAAAAAATTCGAATTATATATATTCAAAATTCAAAGTGTATCGGTTACAATAAAGTGTGTATCAAACGAGAAGGGTACAATCTCTGTATATGAGTAGTCATCTATTATCTACTAGAAGTATGCATATTGGAAGTATGCCGAATTGGAGGTGTGCCGAGTTCAGAGTATGCTGAACTGGAAGTATGCCAAGTTCAGTGAACTGGAAGTAGTTCCTTGCTGAAGAGCCTCCGGAGTTGAGTAGCTTGTTATTCAGTGAAGGGCTAATATGCAGCTTGATCTTCAAAGAAGGGCTGGTGTGCCGAGTTCAGAATATGTTAAACTGGAAGTATGCCGAGTTTAGAATATGTTGAACTGGAAGTATGCCGAGTTCAGAATATGTTAAACAGGAAGTATGCCGAGTTCAGAATATGTTGAACTGGAAGTATGCCGAGTTCATAATATGTTGAACTGGAAGTAGTTCAGAATATGTTGAACTGGAAGTAGTTCAGAATATGTTGAACTGGAAGTAGAATATGTTGAACTGGAAGTACGCTGAGTTCAGAATATGTTAAACTGGAAGTATGCCGAGTTCAGAATATGTTGAACTGGAAGTAGTTCCTGCTGAAGGGCCTCCGAAGTTGAGTAGCTTGTTCTACAGTGAAGGGCTAATATAATATGCAGCTTGATTCCTGCGAGATGCCAGCAGAGCTTCAGTATGCAGATCTTCAGAGCTCCCATTCTTGAAAATGAAACCACTATTTATAGTAGTGAGTGTAGAGAAGAAATCTCTAACCAACTTTATCCCTTTAGATAATTACTAATTTAATTTAATTATTTTAATTAAATTAAGGAATGTATCGGGACACAATTGCGTCCAAGTTCATCATTTCATTAAATTTCAAATAATATCAAATTATCCAAATTCCTTCAAAATTATATAATCCACATATAATTTTGATAGGACAAAACCAAGTCAAACCCGTTAATTAGTAAACTCAACTAATGCAAACGGGCCTGGTCCAACTCAATTAATTATTTCACCATCCTAGGCTGAATAATCCAACGTCCAATTATATTTAATTAAGTAATTAAACAAATTAATTATTTAATGGGCCATTTAATTAACCCAATTAAATAAATATTAGTCCAATAAACTTAATCAAAATAATTAATTTCATAATTAAATATCCACCACGACCTAATAACATCATTTAAATTTTCAATGTTTTTGTTAATCAAGTAAATTCTGTAAAACAAGCTGCTCTAATATATCACTATCAAGTATCAAGCTAAGCTCTCATGTACTATCAAAATGACACCTTTTATAAAAATTGGAATGTAAATTAAAGCAAAAAGTCAAAGAGTACCAGATGCACCGGGGCATACCCCTGAATAAAAATGCAATGTGCAAAATAACCTCAAATAGGGAAAATTAAATCGTGCACCATGGCGTACAATGCATTGTGTGATATGGTCCAAAACAACGTCGTTTTGTACTCTCTTTTTTTTTTTTTTTTTCCTGAAAATTTCATTTTCCGTGTCTGTTGTTAACTTCTGGAAAAAAAAAAAAAATCATGTTTCGAATGTACATAATTGTATAACAAAATACACATAATCTTTTTTGAAAGGATAATACACATAATCTAACATAATACATAATCTAACATAATACATATTACACATAATCTAACATAATACATATTACACATAATCTAACATAATACATAATACACATAAACTCTTAACTCTTAAAAAATCACTTGTTTCGAATGTGCATATTTGTATAATAAAATGTACATAATTGTATAACAGAATACACATACACTTCGTCGTGTCAATTCCTCACACAATTTAACAAAACGACGTCGTTTTGGCAAGATGGGACGCACAATGATTGTGCACCTTGATGCACGATATAACGATTGCTCAAATAGGGCAAATTATGCTGTGAAACTGTGTTCACCTTACAATGTGGATACGGGTCTAAAACTGTTCATAATTATAAAAATATAGTTCAAAAATTATGAACATAGAATTGTGAACATAATTATAAACATATAATTCTGTAATTGTGAATATAGAGTTCAATAATTATGAATATGATGTTCAAAAATTATGAATATATAACTTTATAATTATAAATATATAATTCAGTAATTATGAATATAGAATCGTGTCCACGTTGCAAGGTGGACACGATTCCACAGCATAACAATTGCTCAAATAGAGGTTAGGATCAAAGCCCAACACATGACTACGCAAAACTCCCCTAGGCCCAAGTCGTGCATGATTAAAACAAATATATATATATATATATATATATATATATATATATATATATAGGAGAATTAAATCATCTACCAATGGGCCATCTGTTTCATCCCACATGAGATACGGCAACCGTTATACCGTGCACCAGAGCGTTGTCAAGTTGTGTGAGGAATTAATGTGACGAAATGTATGTAAATTTAATTATAAAATTGTGTATTTTTAGGTATAATATTTTTGTATTTTCAGATATAAAATTCTGTACATTCAAAATATAGAATTTTTATCTTTTCAAAAAAAAATGATGTGTGTGTTCTCTATTATATAATTCTTTCTGTACATTTGAAACATGGGGATTTTCAGTTATAAAAATTCTGTGTTTTCAGATATAAAATTTTGTATTTTCAGGTATACAATTTTGTGTTTTCTATTATACAATTCTGTACATTCGAAACATAATTTTTTTTAAGGAGTTAACAGACACGCGAAAATGGTACAAAACAACGTCGTTTTGGGTCAGGCCGCACAATGCATTGTGCGCCTTGGTGCACGGTATAATTCGTCCACACGTTATAGATTCAGAAAACACACATTAATTAGAATGAAAGGTAAAAAGGTTTACCTTGCAGTTAAAAGGCTACTAGCTGCATCAAGTGTCTTAGAATGGAAGGCTCCAAGGATCCTCTTAAACTCTGGGCTCTTCAACTCTTCAAGAACACATCTGCCAAAAAAAAAAAAACTTAAAAGACAAACTAAAAGCTACTTCCCAAAAAACAATTTTGAGGATCGGAGCAGACCTGGTAGTGAAAAGTTGCACTGCACCACCAAGAGTATTGGCAAGAGCAGTATCAGCAGGAGTTATTTGATGGCCAACCAAATAGAACATAAAAATATCATCACATATAACCTTATAGGGCTCTCTAAAACCTAAACAAGCTGCATCAAACCTCACAGATCTGCGATGGCGGTTCTGCTCTTGCACTTCCATCTTTTACACACAAACAAAAACAAAAAAGACAATAATTTTAATATTCTATAAGCAAAGAGCATAGCCTAACACCAAACTAATTATATAAATATTTTTTTTTAAACATAATAAATCCAGGATTGTCCAGCAAATTATAAAGCTAATAAAAGAATCAATCTTGAGGCAAATTGATGAAGCCTCCCGAGAAGATAGAAAGAAGAAAGGGAATACCTTAATTCGTCGACGTGGTTTTGGGAGGTCAGAAGAAGAGAACGGCAGAGGGCAGAAAAAGTTATGTAAGAATGAATTGGGCGTAGGCGCGTAGCAGTATTTATAGTGGTTTAAAATTTTTGGAAACGGGTTTTTGTATTCTAAAGATATTAGAAATCATTCTTTTTCTATAATAATGTATCTACTAATTAACAATATTTAGGAAGTTATATATATAATAATTAAATAATAAATATGTTTAGGGAAGTATATATTTTGTTAATTATAAATAATAATAAAAATTCTTAATAAAATATAGGTTTTAAATATTTTACAAAAAAGGACTCAGTGAATATTATTTTTATTTTTTAATGGTGTGTAACTCTGCCGCTGCTTGCTGGTGAGACTTGATTCCTGATCATTCTTTTAAACTTTTATCTCTATAACTAGTTAAGTTGCCCATGCGGGTTAAAATTTCTATTCTAATATTATAAAATAGTGTAATACAATTCATATTCTAATATATCTACATACAATTCTAATAAGAACATATAATGTTAGGTCCTTAACTAAAAAAAAAATCAGTAGTATTGATTATATTCGAATCTATCTACATCTACAATTCTAATATCTACATCTACATCTACAATTCTAATAAGAGTCAATAATGTCAGGCCCTTAACTGGAACAAACAAAAATATCGGTAGTATTGTTTCTTTAAAGATTGGTATATCACATTGTTGAAGCAATAATAGTTAATGGGACACATAAAGGAACCAAATTTCTTATCTCCCGAATGTCTCTAGCTTCTTTTGATATGAGACTGCCCTTCAAGTTCCAGCATAAACAATTCATGTTGATGCTTGCCCAATTGCCCAATTCATACAAATCATAAACAATGATTTATAAAATCTCTAAAGTTACAGCACCGCATCGTACATATACACATTAACTATTAATTTGAGCAATTACTTGCTCGAATTCAAACAATGATAACATCAACAAACATAAACGATCAAAATCATATCTTAATTGTAATATATAATACAGAGTATTTAATGTTATAATTTAAATAATTGTATATTGATCAAAATATTCTTAATATATTATAACAAACATACGGGTAAAAATTCTAGTATTAGAAAAAAGTATATGCATGAGAATAATATATATTTTACATTACATACTATTAACTTTATTACAATGCAATCTTTGTTCAAAATTACTTACGCAATTATTGACTTGATCCCACAATCTCTCACTTAAGGGAGTAACTTGGTGCTAATAAACCACAAGACCATTGGCCTAATGGAACAATTTTTAAAATATTTGATAAATATTTAAAAATTATCAAATAAACCTCATATTTTAGGATAGTGCAATCTAGATCTCTAATAGAAAAATATTCCACTAAAATCCCATAAACCAACAAAAAGTACAATAATGTCTTAATTTTATATATATTTATTATACGTTTCTACTGAGTCTCGAACTCATAATCTCTCATTTCTTATATGAGAGTTTAATCCAAGTGCCAATAAACCACAAGGTCCTTAGATCGCAGCTAAAAGCTCCAATATTCAACATTTCCTTCCAAAATTTTAACTTATTGTGTGCGTGTGTGTGTGTGTTTTTTTTTAAGAGATTGAGCAAAATGGGTAAAGCTACCATGGCGGAGCCGGTAGTGATCGGGGGTATGGTGTTGGATATAAATTGCAGTCCTTCTGTTCCTGCTAATCCCGGAACAACCACTCCTGGCAAGGTTTGATGTCATACTTCATAAACTCTTATTTATAAACCCTTATTTATACCTTGCAACCAAAAACCCTTATTTTTTTCCGAATATTTATAAACAATTGAATGATTACCATAGATTCTGTTTGTAAAGAATTTTAGGTCTGTTTGATGTCAAGTGCATCTAAATGAGGTCTCTTATAGATGGGCTTAAATCCTACGCCCACAAAGTAAAATCTGGTTTTACACTGTCCATCTTTACCACTAACCAACTCATTCATCTCTGCTCTAAATATGGTCTAATCCGAGAAGCTCAGAATCTGTTTGAAGAAATGTCAGAACGAAACGTGTTTACCTGGAATGCCATTATAAACGCTCAAGTAAAGGCCCAAAACTTTGTCCGTGCACGAGAACTTTTTGATGCTGCTCCTCAGAAAGATTCTGTGACATACAATTCAATGCTCTCCGGTTATGTAAACTGCAATGGACATGAAAATCAAGCTGTTGAAGTATTTGTTGCAATGCAGTATGACAGTGGTAAAGCTCGAATAGATGAGTTTACTCTAACTTCGATGCTTGGTTTGACAGTAAAGTTGGGTGTCTTGGCTTATGGAAAGCAGCTGCATTCATATATGTTAAAGACTGGTAATGATATTAGTTCGTTTGCAGTTAGTTCTCTCATTGATATGTATTCAAAATGTGGGTCTTTTCAAGATGCATGGAGGGTGTTTAGTGTATGTGATTGTCAAGCAGTGGACTTGGTTTCAAAGAATGCACTGGTGGCAGCCTGTCTCAGAGAAGGCCAACTGGAGATTGCTCAGAAAATCTTTTGGAGCAACCCGGAATTAAATGATGCAATTTCTTGGAATACAATGATTTCGGGTTATGCTCATAATGGCTATGAGAAGGAAGCAATCCAATTGTTCAAGCTAATGGCAGAGGAGGGTCTTTCATGGAATGAGCATAGTTACGCTAGTGTTTTGAGTGCTTGTGCCAGTCTCAAGAATTTGAAACTTGGGAAGGAGGTTCATGCTTGGGTTTTGAAGAAAGGAGCAGTTTTGAATCCATTTATAAGTAGTGGCATAGTTGATGTGTATTGCAAGTGCGGTAATATGAAATATGCTGAGTCTGTTCATGAAACTATTGAGGGGCAGAACCCTTTTTCTGTCACGTCGTTGATAGTGGGATATTCAGCAGAGGCTAACATGTTAGCAGCTAGAAGGCTCTTTGATTCTTTGGCTGAGAAGAATCCTGTGGTATGGACAGCCATAATGTCTGGTTATCTGAAATCTCAGCAATGCGAGGAAGTTTTTCAGCTTTTTAAGGAACTCAGGGAAAAGGGTGTTAGAGTAGTTCCTGATGTTCTAATTCTTGTCAGCCTGCTTGGTGCTTGTGCAATGCATGCAACTTTAGATCCTGGAAAGCAAACACATGCTTACTTGTTGAGAACAGGAACTATGATGGACGAGAAACTAGCAAATGCTTTGGTTGATATGTATTCAAAATGTGGAAGTATATCGTATGCAGAAAGTATATTTCAACAGTTTGAAAGCAAAGATTCCATCTTGTACAACACGATGATAGCTGGTTATGCTCACCATGGTTATGAAAATGAAACCCTTCTGCTTTTCAGAGAAATGAAGGATAGAGGATTTCAACCGGATGCAGTGACCTTTCTTGCCATTCTCTCTATGTGTCGCCACAGGGGCCTAATAAAAATTGGGGAAGAGTTTTTCTATTCAATGACGAAAGACTACAACATCTCTCCTGATATTGACCACTATTCCTGTATGATTGATTTGTATGGAAGGGGTAATCAACTTGAAAAGGCAGTAGACATTATGGAAAACATTCCCAGCGAACCAGATGCAGTAGTTTTGGGTGCATTTGTGAATGCTTGCAAGATGAACGGGAATGCAGAACTTGCAAAAACAGCAGAGGAGGCGCTATTGCGGATTGAAGGGGAGAATGGGGCTAGATACGTGCAGTTGGCTAGTATATATGCCTCAGACGGGAAGTGGAGTGAGATGGGGAGGATCATGAAGATGATGAGAGGGAAGGACGTCAAGAAACTTGTTGGTTGTAGTTGGGTACATGTAGGAAACAAAGTTCATACATTTACCTCTGCTGATAGATCTCACTCGGAAAAGGAGGCCATATATTTTACCTTAGGGTGTTTGATCCAAGAATTAAATGATGTACCTTCAACCTTATTACTTGAATGAAGAACCTTCAAGCAATCTAGGATCTCATCACTATGCCAGGCTAGTTATCTAGGCAAATTGACTGTCTTCTTTTATCTACAATCTAAAGGATCAGAATCCAATGCCTGTAGGGAAATTATGCGATATCCTTTTTTGCTTCAAGTATTCAATATTATGAACAGTGGATTGTCAACGTATATTGTTGTTTCGTTCAGGCGTCTAATAAGTTTGTCTCTACTCAAGTCCTGCTTGTAGCCACAGGCTGTCCATATATCCTCCCTATGGCTGCATATAATGCTGAACTTTGCTATGCAGATTGTCTATACATTAGGTGGTGTGGCAAGGAATATTGCCGAGTGCATGTCAAAGATTGGAGCGAAGCCGTACCTGATAAGTGCTGTAGGATTTGACATGGCAGGTTAGTACTATATTACTTGAACCGTGCATGAGAGAACTATTAAACTATAGTTTGTAAGATTTGTTTGTTTGTTTGTTTGTTTTTTTTTTTTGTTTTTTTCCGAAACCTTCCTGAGGTGTGACAAGCAATACTTCTCTTGATAGGAAATTTGCTATTGGAACATTGGAAATCTGCAGGATTATCTATAGAAGGTAGATTCTTAAATATTTTTCATTACTTTTTCAATTTGATGATTTAATAATCACTTCGTAATTAATAAAAAAATTTCACACATAGAGACAGCCTGCTCCTTAATGCGGGTCTTCTTCTCTAATGTTGACATAGATTTGTAATCTCAAAAAAAAAAAGAAAAAAAGCTTCCTTCATGTAATTTCATTATTGATCTTGCATTCAATGACCTCGTACCATTGAGATGCTACCTTCATTTAACGGGGTTGTTGAAATCTGATCAGGCATTCGAAGACATCACAGTATTGAGACTGCTACCGTTTGCTACATTTATGATAGTAAAGGAGAAGTGGCAGCAGGTGTTTCTAATTTCGAAGCTGTTGTAAGTTGCTTCTAGGCAAACGAATCTGTTAAATTTCAAGTTTTCATAAAGTCTATGTTCCATTCATGGTGAAATTGTTAAAACAGGAGAAATTTCTCACAACGGCATGGATACAGAGCTTCAAATGCAATATTTTGTCTGCACCGGTATTGCTGCTAGATGCAAACTTGAATTCCTTGGCTCTGCAGGCATCATGTCAACGTACATTTTCCATGCTGGCAAAGACTTTTCTTTGTTTTAATCTTGAACTATAAGTAGAAGATGGAAAGTAACTTATTTCTATTCAGAGATTAATTGGAAATTATGTCTCTCAGTTGCAGCAGAATGTAATACTCCAGTGTGGTTTGAGCCTGTCTCGGTTGTGAAATCCAGAAGAATTGCTTCGGTTGTCAATTATGTGAGTGCCATCGGACTTTATGTATGCCTTTTAGTTTCCTTCCCACTTTTATGATAATATTTGAGACGAAACTTGAGTTTGGCTTCTGTTAGGGATTGACGCTGAAATAGGGGCCATAGTTGAGAAATAATACATCCTATTACTCTATGTAATACACTTATCGTTGGATCTATGCATACATACCTTCCTCCATTGATTTGAAAAGTTAATTTGCAGATTACATTTGCATCACCTAATGAGCATGAGCTCATAGCCATGGGAAATGCGGTGGCCAATGCTGATATATTCCAGCCTATAAAACACGCTGAGGGCAGCCAAAAGCTTTCTGTAGAAGCTTTGTTTCAAAGGCTAAAACCTGCAATTATGCTCCTGCTAGACAAAGGTGTCAAAGCATTGATCGTCACTATTGGATCAGACGGGGCGTTCTTATGCTTCAGGGGAACGGGTAGCATCAACAAACTTGGTTTCACGGGAAACCAACCTTCACCCTTTAGCAAACAACTATATGAAGCTGTAACCTCAAAGTGCCCCCGAGATCATATATTTAATACTTCCAAGCACGAGTCGAGCTCCAACATGTTTGCTGTGCATTTTCCCACACTGTCCACATCTGTTGCAAGGCTTACAGGGGCCGGGGATTGCTTGGTTGGTGGGACTCTGGCGTCCTGGTGCGCTGGTCTAGACATCATGCAGAGTTTAGCAGTTGGGATTGCCGCTGCCAAAGCTGCAGTTGAAGTAGACAGCAATGTGCCTGCAGAGTACTCTTTAGCCAAACTTGCTGGTAAGCCATTACTGTCATCTCACCTTTTACTTACATATTACATAAAAACCTCGGGTAGTATGTAAAGAAACATAAAAGTTTATATACTTTCTTCAATAAAACGATTGACATTCAAATCATTAATCTGCAGATGATGCGGGGATTGTATATACTGGTGCCAGAACAATCTTTTGCCCGTCAATGTTGTAGATTGCAGCATACTAGCTGTTTATGCTAAAATTCATTACTCAATTTGATGAATATATGATGGATGAATGGATCTGATATGACTGATAAACTTTACTTCGGAATGTATGTGATGAATTTAACTTCAAAGTTTGATGAATATGTTTTATATTTGGTCTCATAGTATAGCAACTCTTTTTGATATATTCTTTTATGAAGTTATTATAGACTTATATAGTTGGAGTTGAGTACAGTGTTAGGCTGTTAGCCAAAGGCGCTATGAATAAGCATCAATTATGGTGATGAGTAACATATAGATAGGGTGGGATACATAGGTGGTGGGAAGCAATGGTAGGTGCGTATCAATATCATGATAAGTAGGTAGATAAGTGATAGTAACGATAAAAAAAAAAGAGAAGTAATAGTAGTTGGGCATCAACGATCAGAGTAGATAGGTGGTAGTGTCAATAAAGAAAAGGGAAGTAATGGTAGGGAATAGGTAAATAGATATGTAAAAGTAGGTAGGTGGTAGCGATAGTAGAAAAAGGGAAATAATGGTAGTTGGGTATCGATAATCAAGGTAGTTAGGTGGTGGGAAGCAATGATAGGTGCGTATCGGTGATCATGATAGGTAGATAGGTAGGTGATAGTAACGATAGAAAAAGGGAAGTAATAGTAGGTGGACATCAACGATCAGACTAGATATGTGGTAGTGTCAATAAAGAAAAGAGAAGTAATGGTAGGGAGTGGGTAAATAGATATGTAAAAGTAGGTAGGTAGTGTCAATAAAGAAAAGGGAAGTAGTGGTAGGGAGTGGGTAAATAGATATGTAAAAGTAGGTAGGTGGTAGCGACGGTAGAAAAAAGGGAAATAATGGTAGTTGGGTATCGATAATCAAGGTAGCTAGGTGGTGGGAAGCAATGGTAGGCGCATATCGATGATCATGATAGGTAGGTAGGTAGGTGATAGTAACGATAGAAAAGATGGAAGTAATGGTAGGTGGGCATCAACGATCAGAGTAGATATGTGGTAGTGTCAATAAAGAAAAGGGAAGTAATGGTAGGGAGAGGGTAAATAGATATGTAAAAGGGTAGGTAGGTATGTGATAGTAATGATAGAAAAAAGGGAAGTAATGGTAGGTGGACATCAACGATCAGAGTAGATAGATGGTAGTGTCAATAAAGAAAAAGGAAGTAATGGTAGGGAATGGGTAAATAGATATGTAAAAGTAGGTAGGTGGTAGCGGATAGTAGAAAAAGAGAAATAATGGTAGTTGGGTATCGATAATCAAGGTAGCTAGGTGGTGGGAAGCAATGGTAGGTGCGTATCGATGATCATGATAAGTAGGTAGGTAGGTGATAGTAACGATAGAAAAAAGGGAAGTAATGGTAGGTGGGCATCAACGATCAGAGTAGATATGTGGTAGTGTCAATAAAGAAAAAATAGGCCATCGAACTCGAATAAGCTACAAATTGATCAATGAACTTGGAAAAAAGTGCAATTAACATTTTTAGCAAGTTACCAACAAGTTTTTGCTGATTAAGATGTCATTTGTATATTTTAATTTTTTTATTATTATCCTACTAAGCATTTCACCTTAAAAAAAAAAAAAAAAAAAAAAAAAAAAAAACTAAGCATTTGACCCTAAGTCGAAACAATGCAGGAGTTGCATAATAAAATATTTTCATTAAGCAAAGTTAGCAAAATTAGAAAGGACAGTGCAAAAAAACACTGTCCAAATAAGTTTAAACCCATAAACACTAAGCATTTAATTTAATCTACAATAAGCTTATCACCAATTCAGACATATCTCGTCATACGTATAAACCATACTCATCCTCATTGACTCATTTGAAAATATATAAACCCATAATTCCCTTTCTTCGTACAACTCACTCCTGTCTTCAGACACTTACAATGTCAATATTATTCCCTTAGACCATAGTATATACACTATACAGTATATACAAACACAAATGCTATATGCCTTCACAGACACTTACAATGTCAATATTATTCTCTTAGACCATAGTATATACACTATACAGTATATGCAAACACAAATGCTATATATATGCATGCATGCATGCTTGTTACCATGCATGCTTTACTCAAAAAACACGTTCTATTGATGAATTATGCATGCGAAATGATCAGTGCATTTGTATGTTATATGTCACGGGCGCAAAAAATTATAATCAATTCCAAGTTTTAATTTGTATTTTGATGAATTTTTGCAGCATTTCAGATCGATTATCATGCATGGCAATGAACATTGTGAGCAAGAAGGTGGCGGTGTTCATCATGCAATAGGAGCGACTGGAAAGTAACATTTCTCCTCCAACTTTTTTTACGATTAATGAGAAATGGAAGGGATGAAGAAGAACACTATGACTTGCACTCATTTTCAGACATTTTCTAAGTATTCCAAAGTAAATAATACATATTATTTTTGTGGATTCTCACCAATCAACCAAATCGCACGCTCATCGCACGGCCCGGCCGGGACTCCATTTTCACTAGATTGTTTATGCATGCTGATGTGGCCGATTCACCGTGGAGGAATACCTGAAGAAGATATGCGGAATTTGGAAGTAGTTATTTGTGTTAGAAATTATGAAATTCCCAAATTATAAAGTTGTAACACCATTCTTTGATTTCAGTCTGTCCTGGCCTACAAAGTTATATTTAATTTTCTAATATAACGTCATTCTTTAATTTCAGTCAGTCCCACATGGTTACCTTTAATTTTCTCAGGTAACACCATTCTTTAATTTCAGTCAGTCCAACACAGTTTTCTTTAATTTTCTCAGGTAACGTTATTCTTCAATTTCAGTCTACCCCACAAGGTTACATTTTCTCATGTAACGCCATTCTTTAATTTCAATCTGCCCGCCATGGTTACCTTTTCACAAGTAACACATCATTCTTTAATTTTGTGAGCACATAGCCATTAATGTGCAATCCAACTACGAGCTTAGGCTTTTACTTGAGATGGAGCACATGCTTCAATTTGGTATCAGAGTCATGTCAAAGGTCATGGGTTCGAATCTCACCGCCACTCGTAAGCGACTACGGTAGCTTGGAACCCACCGCACCATTAATGTGCAATCCAACTACGAGCTTAGGCTTTCAGTTGAGGTGGAGCACATGCTTCAATTAATAGGTTCAAACAAATTGCCTAGATTAGAACCATTCAATTAATAGGTTCAAAAAAATTTCAAATAATTCTACAAATTTGACTTGAACTCATGTTACAATGTACGGAGTAGTAATTTTCTCAACATATTGAAACACAACTAGTCAATACCGTTCCTACTGAGGCTCAAACCCATTATTTCCCATGGAGAATTTTTAAAACGTGCAAACATTGTGTTATGTTGATGTAACTTATGCGCATATAACGAAATTATTCTTTGAAATTTTTTATGCATGCCAAATATATATTATTAAGAGAAAATTTTCCGTTGAGGTATGAAAAAAAAAAAAAGAAGAAGAAGTTAATACTCCGTGTGAATATAAATAATTTTATTAATTTCGTAAGAGATTGAACATGCAATAAATTTTATTTTTAGGAAACACGTAACGCACCATTATTGTTGCATATATTCCTCATACTTTATTAATAATACAAAAAGAATCATATATAAGAGTGCACTCTAAGTAAAGTTTGCCTTGTACCAGCTTAATAGACATTTCTTACGGGAAGCCAAGCCAAAATTTTGAAGTTTGCCTTGTACCCGTTAGAGTTGTCACAAAATTAAAACAAGATTCTAAATAAAGGGTAGATGGATTATATTACAACCTCCATCCCCTGTTGAGGGTGTGTATAAATAATCATATATTAATTAAATGTAAATTAGAAATATCAAAATGCTAGGTCTGTTCTTTTCTGTTTCATAAAGATATAATAACATTATAACAATAATCTTTGGTACATGAGATGTGACTCAAACGTAGCATTTCTCCTCCATCTTTTATTACTACTAGTGAGAAACGGTAGTGTTTTTTTTTCGTCAAACATTTCTTACAAAATATCAAGTGGGACAACCTAAATATCGAATATATACATATTACAAACAGTAACGTAAAGCTTTAATTTTGATTACTGTAATGTCATTATATCCTTATTGTCATCACACGTCAGTATGTATGAGTTTGTAATAATGGTACGCTGGCAGTATATTTGAAGCAATTGCGAATTTAAAATAATAACATTTGAAGTGGTGAGACTTAAGAGTTTCAAAATTTAATTTTTTACTAAACCAGCAGACATATCCCTTTATACTATGATGATACTCATCACTCGTTTAATTTGAAAATATTTATACCCTCAAATTAAACCTGCTATCTCTTTATATCACTCACAGGTAAACATACTAAATATTTTTATGCGAAAAAAAAGACGTGATTTTTCCGTGCATATCTCGTGTAGTCGTTGTGCGTTTATTTTGTCAACCAAATTAAATGTTTCTTATAAAATGGTAAACTTTTATATCATTATCTACGTACCAAAATAAATATAATGAGCTAAAAAAATATAACTGTTTCCTATGTAATCGAATGCAATATATATGAACGTTGTAATGATTATCGATTAATTAAAATCTTACTATGACATATCATATCTTTTTTTTTTTTTCTAATATTTCAACGATTTAACGAATATAATTTAATTTTTTTTAAAAATATAATTTAATATTTTAATTTTTAAAAAGTAAATTTATAATAAGATTATATATAATTATTGCAGCGAGGGGTTCCATTTTACGAAAATTGCATACTGGTCCCTGTCTTCCACCTATAAATACCCTACTTGTCGCTTTCAAAAACATTCACCCTCTACTTCACTCTCGTCTTCAGACACTTAGTCATTGGTAAAAGTTATTTAGTTAGTGTATACATATAGTACTATACACTATACATAAATATACAAAAAATTTGTATATGCATGCAAGCGTGCATGTTGGGTGCAATTTGCAAAAATCACCTAAAAACACATATGCATGTGCATAACCTGAGTTAGATCATTGTGTTTATATGTTATATGTATCGATTCTAACGTTTTAATCTGTATTTATATGTGATGAACAGGGTTTATCGATTGAAAATGGCAATGAACATGAACAAGAAGGTGGTGGTGTTCATCATGGGAGCAACGGGTTCGGGGAAATCTAAGCTGTCCATCAGCCTGGCCGCCGGCGTCGGAGGGGAGATTATCAACTCCGACAAGATTCAGGTTTACCGGGGCCTTGACGTCTTGTCGAACAAGGTTACCGAGGCGGAGATGCAAGGCGTGCCTCACCATCTGCTCAGCGGAGCCGATCCCGACGTGGAATTCACCGCCGGCGACTTTTGCCTTCAGGCCACCGCGGCCATCGAGAAAATCAGCGGCTCCGGCAAGCTCCCCATCGTCGTCGGCGGCTCCAACTCGTTCATCGAAGCCCTGGTGGAGGACCCGATTTCCCAGTTCAAATCCACTTATCGCTGCTGCTTTATCTGGCTCGACGCTTGCCCGCTGGTTCTGGGGAAATTTGTGTCGGAACGAGTTGATCAAATGGTTGAACAAGGTATATATATATCTGCTTAAACTTTTAGTTGAAAAAATTAAATCGAAATAATTTTTGAGGGTTTTTTTGCAGGTTTGGTTGAAGAGGTTAGGGGAATATTTGATCCAGACTGTGAAGACTACACAAAGGGCATCCGGAAGGCTATTGGGGTGCCAGAATTGGACGAATATCTGCGTGCGGAGATTAACAAGAACGCGTCTGAGGTGGAAAAGACGGCTCTCCTTAAAGCCGCCATTACTCAAATCAAGCTTAACACCATAAGCTTGATTTACCGCCAGGTGGAGAAGATCAAGCAACTAAATGACATTCTGATGTGGCCGATTCACCGCATCGACGTCACCCCGGTTTTTCAGGTCAATGGTGACAAGGAGGCTCAAGAAGTCAACTGGGAAATGCTGGTGTTCAAGCCCAGCTTGGGTATTGTGGAGGAATACCTGAAGAATATCTGAGGACTTTTGTGTTTTAATTTTATTGTTGTTATATTATATATGTTTATGCATGGTGCTTCTGTAATCTCAGCTCCATTTTTACAGAAAAAATAAAACATGATGTAAGATTTCAATTGATAAGATGGAATAAATTTTAGTGTTTCATTTTCTCGTGCTGTGATAGTCTGCTTCCTCATGATACTATTTTCAAAGAATAATTATGTACATTATATTATGTTAATTAAAATCTAAATTTGTGGTTAACAATCTAATGAATTTAACAAATTAGCATATTAAATTGATTTAATAAAATTATACCTACAATGATAAGTTAATTTATTTCTAATTTTTTTGTTTTGAAAGTTACTGGCTCTATTACATTGTAGTATGTGTTCATATACTTTCTCAACCTACTGAAACACAAAGAACCAATAAGGCCTCCACTGAGGCTCGAACTTATAATCTTCCAAATGGAAGTCCAACCCGGATACCATTAGACCACATAGTCTTGGTTAATTTATTTCTAATTTCGCATACCCGTTTATATTCACTTGTCATACTTATAATCACTTATATAGAAATATATATACCCTTCAAGTGTACCCCTATCTCTATGTCATTTACTCATGTATTTTAGAGACTTTCAATGTTAGTAATAGTTTCTTAGAGCATATTATACATTTTACAAAGATTGCTTATGCATGGTTATAAATATGTTAGATTTTTATAAAATCAAACTTTTTTAAGGTGGACACTTGTCAGTTATCACTGGTCAGTACATGGAACCGAGAATGTAATTTGAACGTTGTAATGATTACAGATTAAATAAAATATTACTATATAATACATCATATCGTTATAAATATGTATTATAGATATCCACCACCCGATAATATTTGATATATTATTTTGTTCATATTAATATTTTCATTATTTTCTTACGTATACCATGGAGTTACATATAGTTAAACAAGATAAAATTTTACATTATTTTTATGTGAAAGAAAAGACGTGATTTATCCTTGCATATCTTGTGTAGTTGTTTTGGGTATATTTTGTTGATCAAACTAAACGTTTTTTCAAGAGTATGTAATTAAATTACTCCCAATCAATTAATAGGTTGGTCAAACAAATTGCCTAGATTAAAAATAATTCTACAAATCTGACAACCGAAATAACGAGTATATACATATGACAAATAGTAAGTTAATTATGGCTAGCTTTTGATTATATTAATGTAATGTCATTATATATATCCGCATTGTCGTCTCTTGTACGTATACAGTTTTTGACACTCTCAAGTCTCACCACTTTAAATATTATTTTAAATTCACAATTACTTCAAATTTACTGTCACCATTCTAAACACTTTAAACTCATAACTTTCTCAATAAACCATTACTCTTATAAAAGCAAATTATATCTTGGAAGAATTAAATCAAATCAATCGCACACCAAATCATTTGCAACAAAATGTATAATTCTTATTTTTAAAAAATGTATAATTCTTGAGATTATATCCAAGCCCATTGGATTTGACATACTAAGGATACTTTAGGATGAAGTCACAAATTAAAAATTCAAGTGAGACTTCAGACTAGGAAGTGGAATTTAACAAATTAGCATATTAAATTGATTTAATAAATTAAAATTATACCTACAATGATAAGTTAATTTATTTCTAATTGCACATACACTTTTATATTCACTTGTCATACTTATATATAATCACTCATATAAAAATATATATACCCTTCAACTCTACCCCTATCTCCATGTCATTTACTCTGTATTTTAGAGACTTTCAATGTTAGTAATATTTTCTTAGAGCATATTATACATTTTACAAAGATCGTTTATGCATGGTTATAAATATGCTAGATTTGTATAAAAACAAACTTTTTTAAGGTGGACCCTGTCAGGACATGGAACCGATCGAGAATGTAATTTGGACGTTATAATGATTACAGATTACATAAATAAATTATTACTATATAATACATCATATCGTTATAAATATGTATTATTTTGATTATTTAACACATTTAATGTAACTTTTAAAAAGCAAATCTGTAATAAGATTATAATTAATTCGAATTCCAGTCCTTAGCAACAATAGATACCCACTATATACCCGATAATATTTGATATATGATTTTGTTCATATTAATATTTTCATTATTTTCTTATGTATACCATGGAGTTACATATAGCTAAACAAGATAAAATTTTACATAATTTTTATGTGAAAGAAAAGATGTGATTTGATTTATCCGTGCATATATCTGGTGTAGTTGTTTTGGGATTATTTTGTTGACCAAACTAAATGTTTCTTATAAAACAGTAAACTTCTATATTGGGATATACATACCAAAATAAACATAACGGTCACCAATGTAATCGAATGTAATATGAACGGTTTAATGATTACCGATTAATTAAAATATTACCATAATATATCAAATCAAATTAAATATTTTTACGATTTAAAGAATATAATTTAATTTTAAAAAAGTAAATTTGCAACAAGATTTTATTAATAGGTTCAATGAATTGGTCAAATAAATTGCCTAGATTATAAATAATTCTACAAATCTGATGACAACGTAAATAACGAGTTTATACATATAACAAATATATAGTAACATAATTATGGGTAGCATTGGATTACTGTAATGTCATTAATTATATTACTATATTGCATCATATCGTTATAAACATGTAATATTTTGATGATATAACACATTTAATTAATTTTTAACAAGTAAATTTGTATTAAGATTATAATTAAGTCGAATTCCACATATTTTCACTCAAACGCCATACTTACCACTGCTTTGCAAATATAAATAATACTACCCATTAATATTTAAGAGAAAAAATTGTAATTTATGTCCCTTTATAATATGTCAATTATCAATGTCATTCATGAATTATTAGTCGTGTATATATATATTGTCACTCCCGTAGTATAAATGTTGCCCTTTAATTTTTCTCTCGTATGGTATGGGAGGGACAATATATGCACTGTTTTGAAAATTGAGGAACAACATTGGTGATAATTGACATATTATGGAGGTGCATAAATTACAATTTTTCCTATTTGATATATTATTTTGTTGATGTTAATATTTTCATTATTTTCTTACATATAACATGGATTTAAATACAGCTAAAAAAGTTAAAATTTTACATTGTTATTTTTATGTAAAAGAAAATACGTGACTTATCCGTGCAATCTCGTGTAGTCATTGGATTTATTTTGTCGATCAAATTAAATGTTTCTTATAAGATGGTAAATTTTTATATTGGGATAAACACACCAAAATAAATATAACGTACCAAAAAATATATAATGTTCTCCATTGTAATCGAATGTAATATGAATATTATAATATTTCAACGATTTAACAAATATAATTTAATTTTTTAAAAATAATTTAAAAATAAAATTATATATAATTATTTCGGCCATTCACCTATAAATACCCCACTCCCTCGTCTCTTTCGATCAACAACACTCACTCACTCTCGACTTAGACACTTAGAATATAAAGTCATTGGTATGTAATACTTATGTAGTTAGTGTATACAATACTATATTGTATACATACACATACCGAAAAGTAGTATATGCATGCATGGGAGATGTTGGTTGCAATTTGCAAAAATCACCCAAAAAACACATATGCATGTACATAATCTGAGTTAGATCATTGTGTTTATACGTTATATGTATGGATTCTAAGTTTTAATCTCTGTTTATTTGTGATATGTGATTAACAGGCAATGGACACTACAGTGAACAAGAAGGTGGTCGTGTTCATCATGGGAACTACCGGTTCGGGAAAATCCAAGCTGTCCATCAGCCTCTCCGCCCACGTCGGAGGAGAGATTGTCAACTGCGACAAGATTCAGGTCTACAGAGGCCTTGAGATCTTGTCGAACAGGGTGACGGAGGCGGAGATGCAAGGCGTGCCTCACCATCTGCTCGAGATAGCCGATCCCGACGTGAATTCACCGCCGGCGAATTTTGCCTTCAGGCCACCGCTGTCATCGAGAAAATCAGGTTCTCCGGCAAGGTCCCCATCGTCGTCGGCTGCTCCAATTCGTTCATCGAAGCCCTGGTGGAGGACCCGATTTCCCAGTTCAAGTCCACGTATCATTGCTGCTTTATCTGGCTTGACGCTTCCCCGCTGGTTCTGGGGAAATTTGTGTCAGAACGAGTTGACATAATGGTGGAACGAGGTATATATATATCAGCTTAAACTTTTAGTTGAGGAAATTAAAACCGACACTGAATAATTTTTGAGGGTTTTTTACAGGCGTGGTTGAAGAGGTTAGGGGAATATTTGATCCATGCAAAGACTACACAAAGGGCATCCGTAAGAATATTGGGGTTCTAGAACTGGACGAGTATCTGCGTGCCGAGACCGACAAAAACGTGTCTGAGGTGGAAAAGACGGCGCTCCTGGAAGCCGCCATTGCTCAAATCAAGCTTAACACCATAAGCTTGATTTACCGCCAGTTGGAGAAGATCAAACGACTTAAGGATATTCTGAAGTGGCCGATTCACCACATCGACGCCACCCCGGTGTTTCAGGTCAATGGCGACAAGGAGGCTCGAGAAGCCAAGTGGGAAATGCTGGTGTTGAAGCCCAGCTTGGGTATTGTGGAGGAATACCTGAAGAATGTCTGAGGAATTTTATTGTTGTTATATATGTTTATGCATGGTGCTTAATTGTGTAATCTCTGCTGCATTTTTTACATGCAGTAAAAAAAAAAAAAAAAAGAAGTAAGTTTTCAATTGATAAGATGGAATAAATTTTTACTGTTTCATTTTCTTGTGCTGTGATAGTCTGCTTCCTCATGATACTATTTCCAAAGAATAATTATGTACATTATATTATGTTAAAATCTAAATTTGTGGTTGACAATTTAATGAATTTAACAAATTAGCATATTAAATTGATTTAATAAAAGTATACCTACTATGATAAGTTAATTTATTTCTAATTTTGCATACCCTTTTACATTCACTTGTCATACTTATATATAATCACTCATGCATATAGAAATATATAT